CTTAGGCACAGAAAAATGAGATTAGAACTGTGGTGAAGTAGATATTTAATAAATATTAAAATGTGATTCCTGAACTCTGAGCTACCTCCTTGAAAATGTAATATGAGGCAGCTACTCAAACTGGAAATTCAACTCTGGGAATTTGAGAATGAATAATAATTTTGAAATTGTATGTGATCTAATGAAATTATAAGAACAGGACTCATGACTTTCAATGCCTCCACAAACTATAAATCCAGGAGCATGAAATGTTCCAGACAGTGTGGAACACACGGAACACCAAATATACAAAAACCTTCTTGAAGTGCTTCCTTTGTCTAAACCCCTGATGTGATACAGGAAGCCAATCTACCCATCTAGGAGAATCAGATCTGACTAAGTAAGATGTAGGAAGGATTAAATAGTTGTATTCAGACCTTTAGTATCCATTTTAGTAATTATGTATAGATATATAGAATCATGTCTTTCCCTATGAGTTACTTTGTTTATAAAAATCTATTTCCTTCTGCTCTGGCTAAATAAATGTTTAAAGCATCCAGGAACCAAACTAGATTCTGCATCAGGCTATAAACTTATGGAATGTCCCCCACCTGGAATATCTCCTTTTTAAATACCTTTGAATCTCTAGATCTTCAAATTTCTAGATCAATATATAGATATATTGATAATTCAATATGTTGTTTCTGGAATTGGCATTATTAGCAAATTCATTAAGATAGAGTTCTTTGCCTTAATGCCTTGTATTGTATTGCAAGATTATTAACTTTATTTACAAGGAAATTTTTTATACCCCTAATTCTGTGAAAATAAAATAATCATAGTTATTTTATGGTTCAAAGTATTATAATTTAATTTTGAGTATGTTAACACTCTTCTCTGGCTTCCTTTTACTACTCCTTACTACCAATAGCTCAAACAAATGAAACTAAAACACAATTTTAGTTTATGTGTTATAAGTCATAATTTTTAAATTATAATGTTGATCACACACTGTTATTTTAAATGTTGTTTATATCAAAGTTGTTGCTGTCTCTATGAGTGAAGGGAAAGCAATTAAGCAAACAGGTGGGCAATTTATCAATCATCTTGAGGGTTTGGTATTATGATGTGGCTTTATTAATTTTGTATGCTATTTCACACATTCCTAAGGCAGGTACAGGAGGACTGTTTATGCATAAGAACAAAACAATTCTAGAACAAAATATAAGTAGTTCTTAAATCATCTAGTATTTTGAATTTGTCCTACATGGTATGTCATGGTGAAATATATCAATAATTCTGTTTGGCTACATGTTTAATTTGATCACAGCACTGAGTTAATACCAAAAAAATTACTAGAAAATAATAAAAGACATAAAATGTTATTAGGAAGACAATCATCATAATTTGACACTGCATGCATTTCTGTATTATCTCATCTCCCTGACTTAAAGAGGGAGAGCACCCTAAAAGAAGCAATTGTTTTCTTATTCTTGTTTATATCTCAGGAGTCCCTACTCAGATCCTCAGCTCTAGTAAATATGCATTCAGGAATTGCTAAAATGAATTATATTAAAACTCCCTATGTTATGAATGATAAACTTCAAAATATTCCAGGTAAATCATCTAAATTGCCAAAGTAAAATCTCATGAAAGCCATGAAGGTTCTAATTTATCAAATACATACCTAAACTCTTTTACAAAAACATTCAAGCATATAGTTTCCAATCTAAATCAAATATATCACAGAAACAGGGTTTCTCCTCCAGATAACCCACCCAGAACATTTACCCATTTCTAAAATAATGCTGCTTTGGAAATTTATGAGGTTAGATTCAGTAGCATGCAAGAGATTAGCTGAGCCAGAAAGAAAGAGTGCATGTCCTCTAAAACCCTTAAAAACAAAGAAGCAGGAGGAACACTGCAAAAAAAAAAAAAATGTACCTAATACCACAATGGATCTCTTACATATGAACTGAATTACAATTTCTGAAATATTTGCTTCTGGGGGTTGACTTTTTACTAATGTAACCTCACGAGAGATGCTATCACATCACTTTCTACATGTGATCTGCACACAGTTGTTAAAGACCTTTAAATCTAATGTGCACTGACCTCCTGAACATTTGCTCTCACTGGTGGTTTCCAATTTCTTCTATATCAAATGGTGACCTTAACATTCTGTCTTACGAATATAACTACGAGAAGTGAGCTGACATGATAAATGACTATACTCGCAACCCTTGGTCATATTTTTTATTTTTCAGAGAATCAATTGATGGTTTGGTCTTTCCAGTTTCCTTTTTACTTCCCCATATTAACTATCATTTTATTGTTAATGTGCATATACACTAAAAGAAAATGAAATAGTTGAATAATTTAATTAACAAATGTAATCTCTGTGTTTCATATTATAACACTATTGATTCTCAACTGTCTTTCCTTGATTATCAGCAATATCAGAACAGAATTTTCCAGCTTATGAAAATAAAAGTTGAGACTCACCCATCAGGTTGTTCCACACAAATTACCTGTAGTGCCTGAAGGATCATTTTTTAAGGATCATTTTTACTTGCCAAGATTTAAGCAACTCTAGTAACATTTGGTATTTGGTACTGCAACCCATCTATTGGCTTAGGTGAATTTGTAGCTATATGTCTGCCTAAATAAACTTGTCATGCAGCTACGAAAGAGTGAAATAAGAGTTTTAACGTTAATGAGGATTTATTTGAGGGACATTAAAGACTTTCCATTATTTGAACACTAAAAGACTAAACTAGATATTTTCTAAATTATTAATATTACCATTTGGGTATAATCTTTAGAACATTTTACAGTCTAAAACAATTGAGATTGTTGTGTGCTCATTAAACTTTACCGAGTTAAAGCATTTTCTCAATGTCTAATACACCTCCAATAAATAACTCACGTTACTTGACAAAGACAGCCCAACATATATTTAGGCTATTTTGAAAATAATGGGAAAAAAAACTATTAATAGATGTTTTCTCTTGTGGGGTGCAGTGAATAGTAATTTAGGGCAGTTGAGAGCAAAGCAATTTAACATTTCCCTTGTTGGTTCCTTTGACCTACTAGTTTAAAGGTCTTTGCAACACCCTTGAGCTTTTTCCTCAGGATAAAGTCATAGTTGTTATCAGTGTCAAAACAGCTATTTTGCTATCAGGTTCTACCTCTCTTTTTTCAGGTATTTTTAAAATATCATTTGCATATCCAAGAACAAAAAATAAATAAGTATATACACATATATAGTTTTTAAAATTTCTTTCAACATATCATCTCTTGGTTGAAGTTGTTATTGCTCAAAGGAATGATGCCCTCTAAGACGACCTGGCGTAATGGCCTCTGCATCTGATGAATACCAGTGTATGTTACATTTATTTCAAACTGTACAGTCATGGTTTTGGTTTGTCTCTCCAGTGTGGGTCACCTACCACTATCTGGTCATCCCATTGTCTATTACCACTTCCTGCATTAACAGAGTAAGGGTATATTTATGAAAATAAGTTTTTAAAAGAAGTCAAATAAATATCTACTATAAATAATTATCAGGAAGTAAACAATTCAATTTCATTTAAGGCTTCTCTGAGTCCTTTTATGCTCTGGGTTTGTGGTTGACTGCATATTTTTATGACTCATAGCCTAAACCAAATTGAAGTTTAATTCAATAAAAAGTGCTTTGAGCTGGATTTAGCCAGCCTGGAGTACAGTTGTGGCTCTACCATTGCCTAACTGCAAATTTGGATAATTCCTGACATTTCCTGAATTTCAGTTTCCTTATCTGTAAGTGAAGTGGTTGGATTACATTATCTAAAACTTCTCCCTATCCAGAAAGCTCTGTGACTGAGAAAAGTCTAAGCAGAATTGAAAAAGAAAAAATATGGTTTGCCTTGGGTAAATTTCCATTTCCAGCTCCACTTTTACTCTCTCCTAAGGTGCCAAGTACTTTCATGCTACTCCCGGTCCATGTGACATATGAATTGCTGACCTGATGATCCTAATTTCAACTGCAAACCTCTGAGCCACGGCAACATATGTATCATTTAGAAATAACCCCAGCCTCCCCAAAGCAAAACTTTTGCTAAGATTAAAGCTGTATTCAAATATATAATCCTCTTTATTGTCATTTCTTCTTTTTTGATCCCCTTCAATAGTTCCAGAGTGTTTTGAAATAATACTAATATCAAGTGGTAGCAGACACTGCCATTTACAATTTTTCCACCAATGGGAGTTGCAATTATGTTTCTTTCCCCTTCTTTATTTTTTTTTTACAAACAAAAACATGATAGATATCTTCTAATAGCAGAGACCAGAGTGAAATTATTAGGTCACAAAGTTTAAATAGCTTCAACTTTCCTAATTATTGCCAAAACACATTCCAAAATGATTGTAACAATTATACTCTTAACAACAGATATGAGAGTGCTTCAGATTTTGGCAAATTTCTAGGAAAGACAGATATTTAATTTTTGGCAGTCTTATGAATATGAAACCTTGTCATTTTAAAAATTTGCATTTTCATTTCTTTGAATAATAGTAACTGAATATATGTAAATTTTTATTGGCCATTCAAGTTTCCTCTTTTGTGAAATGACTTTCTGTCACTTTGAATATTTCAGTTGGGTTTTGGGTCTTTTTCTTATGGCTCCTAGGAGTTCTTTTTTTTTTTTTCTTTTTTTTTTTTTAAATTTGATGCAGGGTGTGGCTAAATTGCTAAGCAAGCCTCCCACTGGTGATCCTCCTGTCTCAGCATCCCAAGTCACTGGGGTTACAGGCATGCACCACCACATCCAGCTGGGAACTCTTTATGTATGTTCTCCTGCTTGTATTTTCACCATCTTTATTCTCCATGGATAAACAGAAATTCTTAATTTTAATGGGATCCAATTATCAGTTTGGGGCTTGCAGGTTTTGGATCTTGTTTTAAGAAAGGTCCCTACTTTCAGCACAAAAAGGAGGCAACTCGGTACAGTAATTTAAAACCCACTCAAGAGGCAGCCTACCTGAGTCAAATCATAGTCAGCTCTTCTTAGCCTGAGATAAGGTGAATATTTTTTGCTTCTATCTCTTGACCTATCAAATGATAATGATATTAATGGTATATCTCTCAGGGTTGTTATGAAGATTAAATGAATTGGCATATATAAAATAATTATTATGATACCCAGCACATAATGAGCAACAAATAAGTGTTTGATATTATTATTATCTGCATATTTATTCTACCTGGAATTAATTTTTTACATGTTACAACATAATAAACCAATTAGATACTTTTTTCACAGAAAAATGAACCAATTTCTATAAAACATCATTTATTGAATAATCCATCCTTTCTGTATTGCTTTGCTAGTGTTTCACATAGGCATATTCTACAATTCTCTATTCCATTTCATTGGTCTTATTTTTCTACACCTGTGTTTTAATAATTGTATTATAAACCTAATATAATAAATTTAGGTCTTGCTTGCTAGGAAGAAAAATCCCTTTACCTTGTTATTCATCTTCAAAATTAGAACTTGGCTCTGAATACGATATGGAGATTATTTATCAAATTTAATAAACTCTCTGTGTATTTTGATTGGAAATGCATTGAATTTGTAAAATAATTTTGGCAAAATTTACGTGGTTTTGGTACCTCTGCCACTACTATCAGGAGCATAAAGGAACACTCCCTAAAAAAATATGTTTCCTCATAATTCATTTCAGATGGGATTCTTTTTCACATTGGTCTACTTACAAGTCATATGATGTTTCCTAGCTACAACAGAACCTGAAAACATGTGTTTTGCCTCCTGCCTTTGGGAGGTCATAGAAGAGAATGACAGTTCCATATGACAAAGGTGAACTTTATTTACTTATCCCAATATGTCATTTTTAAATAACTAAAGAAAAAAGAAACTTTTGTTTCTTCCTTCAAAATATTATAAATTTAATTTCTTTCTTTACTCAAAATACTTTACTAGGAAGGTAGAAAAGTACTGAATAGAAACTGCAATAATGTGTCACTTTGTCTCATTCTAAAGAGAATGATTTTTACATTTCAACATTAGATTTGTTTGTTATGTATTTTTATAGATAATATTTATATTGCTGAGGTTTCCTTTTATTTATTTATTTTTTTAATTTAGGTTTATTGGTTTTTTTCCTAAACCAAGAAAGGAATATGAATTTGATCAAAATGTTTTACATCTATTGAAATGATATATTTTTTTTTCTCTTGGTGCAGTAAAATATTAAATTTTATTATTAGACTTTCCAATAACAAATAATTATTTCTTTATGCAAACACAACTTTGTATGTGTTTAAATGTATCTACACATATAAACATATCTATACATATAAACATACATAGGTATACAGGTATATATATATATATATACACACACACAGATACATATATGTATATAGAAGTATATAGAAATAATTATAATACTTTGTTAGACTCTGCTGGTGTTTTAGTAAATACATTTTCCATATTAATTGGTAAATTTGCTTATGATCTTTCATGTGCTAATAAAAAAAAAAGAGACAAGAATTTTAACCCCTATAATCCCAGCAGCTTGTGAGGCTGAGGCAGGAGGATTTCGAATTCAAAGCCAGCCTTAGCAAGTTAGTGAGGCCCTAAGCAACTCAGTGAGACTGTGTCTTAAAATAAAACAAAACAGGGGATGCGGCTCAATGGTTAAGTGTCCCTGAGTTCAATTCCTAATAATACCAAAAAAAAAAAAAAAAGTTTATTTAAACAAGATACTTAAGGGGAAAACTATTTAGAACTTTTTAGAGTGATTTAGCCCTACTTAAAGTCGGATTGCCCTATACGTAATAACTATGTACAAAATAATTATAAAATTGCCTTTGATTCTACAATAATAAATTTAAAAACACTAAAGGTCTGCAATCGAACAGGGCATACAAGTATTTTCTTTTCTTTTTTTTTTTTTTTGTTGTTAAAGCAGTGAGAGCACAATACCTTATAGAATACAGAGATAAGAACTAAATGAGCATGCTACTGTGGCAGAAATGATATATTTTCACAGGACCATTATTTTTCCCCATTCCATTTCCACCTGATATCAATCAGAATGTATCATCAGCCAATGGTTTTTCTTTAATGCAATAAAATGGTGCAGAAGCACCAATTAATTAAAGTACAATAAAGGAATGGGAAAGAGAAAAATGAAAGTATACAGAAAGGAATACTATAGTGATTAGGATGTGGTTAGAATTGAATTGCAGTTTTCTAATTGAGAATGTATTCTTGGACTGTAAAAACAACCTCAGCAAACCACCCCCCCCCAAAAAAAAATAGACTTCTGGAGTCAAGTAGAAGGTTCCAATTTTTAACAGACACCTCCTGTCTGGGGCTGGATTACATCAATTGTAGCTTCATCCTCAGTCCCCAGCCATGCAGATGTGGCTGCCTGTCAAATTGGAATCTAACCTGCTTCATTGAAATAAGCCTGTCATTTCCAATATGCTTTTATTAGTATACCAAGTAGTATTCGCCTCTTATTCTTAAACTGCACCACAGAACCATCCTGCACCACCACCTTCAGATTAATATGATCGTTGTTCTCAGATTTGACCCCTTCCTTGAGCTTTTTATTGGTGATGGCAAACACAGGAATCTCCTCACTAAACAGATAACAGGTTCTCGCCAAACCAGCGTACAAACAGCACCAGGAGTGGTAGAAGGTGGCAATAGCGGTGGTCTTGTGCTGATCTTGGTACAACAATTATTATAGCTTCAGAAACAACAAGGCCATAACTAGCCCAATTTTATGCATCACTTCAGATTCCCTTAGACAGCTCTAGAGTTTTACCCTTGGCCAGTGACAATTCAAACCCACCAATATAATATATCCCTGAAATTTCGGGGTTTGCCCACCATTTCCAAATTTGAACAATGAGTGATAGGGCATGAGCCCTTGCACCCTGGAGCTACATACAGCATACGGAGCTGATTCATGCAACCTAGAAAGGCTGGAATTTTACCCTATGGAACAAATTATAACCAATGGAGAGCAAGTGATAAGCTAGAGTCAAGCAAAACTATCTCCTCTCTTTCATTGTATTCTACCAACTGTTCAAAATAAAAATGCTTTTTAATTAAAATTTTAACTGTATGCATTATTGGGGACCATGTGATATTATAGTATCTATTAATTGTATAAAGTTTAATAAAATTCAATAAAATATTCTCAAATATTATCATTACTTTAAAGTGAAGACATTTAAAATCATTTCTTTTTTAGATGGAATGTACACTATGGTTCTTTTCAGTCACCCTACAGTGCAACATCACATCAGAAATTATTACCCAAACTAACTATAACTTAGTACCACTGATCAACCTTCTCACCCTCCTCCTACTCTCTCCAGACTCTGGCAACCATCATTCTACTACCAACTCTGTGGGATCAACTTTTTTGGATTCTACATGAGTTAGATCATGCAGTACTTTTCTCAGTTCACTTAACCTAATAATCTCCAATTCATTCTTATTGTGGCTGAACAGTATCTCCTTAGGTATATGTACCACATTTTCTTTTATCCATTTATCAGATGATGGACAAACTTCAGCTGTTTCTATTTCTTGTCTATGAAGTGGTGTCTGATAAACATGGGAGAGCAGATGTCTCCTCAAAATATTGATTTTATTTTCTTCAGATAAATACTCAGTAGTGGTATTTATGAATCAAAGGATAGTTATATTTTTAAATATTTGTGGGACTTGAACTTGCATACTGTTTTTTCATAGTGCTATAATAATATGATATAATTCACATTCCCATCACAATGTCCAAGAATTCCCTTTTCTCCACATCCTCACGGGCACTTGGTACCTTGAATCCTTTTGATAATAGCTATTCTTAATGGAGCAAAGTGGTAATTCACTAAAGTTTTGAACTGCATTTCCCTGATGATTAGTGATATTAAGCATTTTTATACACCTGTGGGTCATTTGTATACCTTCTTTTGAGAAATCTCCATTTACGTCTATTAACCATTTTTTTAAAATTGGATAAGTGTTTTTCTTTCTTTTTTGTTTATATTTTTGCTACTTAGTTTTTGGAGTTCCTTATATATTTTAGATATTAACCATTTGTCAGATGTAAAGTTTACAAACAATTTCTCCTATTCTGTAGTTTGTCTCTTTACTTAGTCATTCTTCTTCTTGTGCAGAAGCTTTTGGGTTTAATGCACTTTCATTTGTCTGTCTGTGTTTGTTTCCTGTGTTTGGGGGGGGTCATGTCCAAAAGAGTGTTCTCCCAACCCAATGTCCTGAAGCATTCCCCTTATAAGTTCTTCGAGTAGTTTCATAGTTTTAGCTGTTCCATTAAAGTCTTTTGAGTTAATTTTTGTAATTTGTGACAGGGGTATAATTTAACTCTTCTACATGTGCATTCCCAATTTTCTCAACCGACTTATTGAATAGACTGTCCATTCTCCAAAGCATGTGCTTAATATCTCTAATAAAACTTTTTGCCTTACATGCCTCACTGTCACCTCTCCACTGAAAATAACTGGCATAAAGTTGGTACTTTTTTCACTTAGAATTTTAGATCCATAATATAGGTTTTGAGAAAATTCACTTTAATGACTATATCATATTTCATTGTTCATGTATACCCACGAATATCCCCTACTGTTAAACATATGTGTTAGTTCTACTTTTTGTTATATATAATGTCACATTTTCGATTTATAGATGATATGGCTCAGAAGCTGCTATGGTTTAATGTAGCCCCCAAAGTTCACATTTTGGAAATAATCTACTCATTCATACACTGACAGTATTTGGAATTGAGACCTTTAAGAGGTAATCAGGCTTAGAGGAAGTCATGAGTGTGGGATCCCCACATCAGGATTAGTTGCTTTATAAGAAGAGGAAGAGAGATCTGAACTTGGGTATTGCTGCTCTGGTGCCATGTGACACTTTCCCCTACACTGTGATGCAGCATGAAGGTCCTCTACAGAGGCCAGTACTGTGATATTGGACTTCCCACCTTTCAGAATTGTGAGAAATAAATTTCTTTTTCTTATAAGTTCCTCATTTTGTGGTATTGTTACAGCAACAGAACACAGGCTATCACAGAGACCAAGAAAATTCTTCTATAAATAACTGTTCCAGACTTTTTGGTTTATATTTTCTCTGTTGAAACTATTCAATTCTGCCATGGTAGCACAAAGTCAGTCATGGAAATTTGTAAATAAATAAGTATGACTGTGTTCTAATTAAATGTTATTTACAAACAAGGGCAATGAGTCATATTTGTCCAAGTGGCCATAATTTATGATACCTGATACAGTTTTCTGTAAGTCATCTAGATAAGATAGTGCAGGAAATATTTAATTCAAAATAAATCCATAACAGTTTAGTCTTTGATACCTTATTTTTCCCATGGTTATTGACTATTTTTTTTATTTCAACGTTTTAGGTAACTTGGATCTTGTCTTCTGAAACCCTCTAAAAATCTCTAATTGGTGCAAAAGATCATTGATGTTCAAAATGAATACTGACATGCTTGGATAAAAATCTACTCTATTTATTTCTGTTCTGTATTTTCTTTCTTGTTCTTTGTTCCTGTTTTTGCCTTCCAGTCTCTGTCTTTTGAGGTTTTAATAAACCATCTTTTATGATTTCATTTCTCTCCTTTTCTTAGTATATTAATTATACTTTCTTCTGTAAAAAAAAAAAATAGTGATTTACCTGAAGTTTG